ATGAAGCAGAGTCAAAGAGATATAGAGGAAATTAAAATCTCAATCATAAGCTTGCAAACCCGTTTAAGTGAATGTGAAGACAGAGTTTCAGATCTTGAAGATGCTGGTGTGGCTAGTGAAAAGATAAGAAAGGATCTCTTTAAAACAACGAGGATGCAAGAAAGAATAATCCATCACCTGTAAGATGATGCAAAGATGAACAATGAGAGACTAATAAGCATCAATGAGAAATAAAGAAGGAGTCAATACAAATGACATTAAAAATATGGGCAGAAGTAATAACAGAAAGCTTCCCAAATGTGAGGAAACAATCTGACATTCAGGTAACTGAAGAATACAGAATGCCAAAGAACCTCAACCCAATGAAAAACACACCAAGACATATAATAGTCATGATCGCAGAAATTCAGCAGAAGAATAATCTACAGAAAGCTTGCTAGAGAAAAGAAGCAGATCACATTCAAAGGAAAACCCATCAGAATTACGGCCGACTTCTCTTCACAGACCATGCAGGCAAGAAGAGCATGGAGCAGAGTACATCAGGTCCTCTATGAAAACAAATTCCAGCCCAAACTACTATACCCTGCAAAACTCTCTGGCTTTGGTTTCTCTTCCTTTTCTAGTTGTTGAATGTGCAGCATTAGGGCATTTATTTTTTCCCCTAAGCAGTTTATAGTGGCCTTCTTTATTTCACTTGATCATTGTTGGTTTGAAGTTGAGACTGTCTGAGAATAGGATTGCTACATCTCCTTTTTTCTTAAGTGCTGGCCATGTAGTATTGTGTTCCATCATTTGGCTTTCAGCCTATGAATATGTGTATGAGTTAAATGTGTTTCTTGTATACAGCATATTGTTGGATTTTGTTTCCTAATCCAACGAGCCAGTCTATTTCTCTTAATTGGTGAATTGAGTCCATTTACATTGATGGTTAGAATTGAGATGTTTTGAGTTATGTTTGCCATGTTATTTCCCTGTTGTCATTTGCTCCTTATTCTCCTGTGTTTAATTGCTTACCCTATTTAGTTGGTTGCTTCTGATCTCATTCGTGGAGTTCTGATCATTTTGGTCTCTTCTAGAACATCTTTCAGTAGCCTGTGTAAGGTTAGCTTTGTCATCACGAAATTCTTTTGGAGTTTTCTGTCATGGAAGTATTTCATTTTTCTATCAAACTTGGAAGAGAGTTTTGCATGGTATAGTAGTCTGGGCTGGAATTTGTTTTCTTAGAGGACCTGAAGTACTCTGCTCTCTGTTTTCTTGCCTGCATGGTTTGTGAAGAGAAGTTGGCCGTAATTCTTATGGGTTTTCCTTTGCATGTTATCTGCTTCTTTTCTCTAGTGGCTTTCAGTAGATTATTGTTGTGCTGAATTTCTGGGATTTTTACTATTATATGTCTTGGTGTGTTTTTCATTGGGTTGAGGTTACCTGTCATTCTGTTTGCTTCAGTTACCTGAATGTCAGATTTTTTCCTCATATTTCGGAAGTTTTCTGCTATTACTTCTGCCCTTACTTTTTAAAAGACTTTTCTTTTAATATGCCATGAGGTATCTTGTTTGTATATTTTCCAAAACTCCCAGCCACATCTCCCACCCTTCCAAAAGATCCACATCTTTCAATGCAGTAAAAGACACTGACTCATAGTTCTATTCACCTCTTTTTTGAAAGCAATATAATACTAATTACTTAAATGGTAATACATTCTTATCTAATAAAGGAAAAACTTTTACAAGTATCAGAAACCCAAATTTGAAACATCTGTATTAATTTTTAATCAAATCAGCATTCTGCGGGGCTTTTTTTGGTTTGTTTTGTCTTATTTTTCTGAAAGGCAGCAGTTCTAACTTGCTGATAAACACATTTCTGCTGAGGACAAAGGGAAAAAAGGAGAGAGGGAGACAAATGCTGCATTTCTCTATTGGCCCCAAAAGTGCCAACTTCACAATGGTATACATCAAAGCAAACATGCAATGGTTGTTTTAAATCTTTACTGCAATATAACAATGAAGTAAACTGTAATTAGACACCTGCTCATTTTTCCCCAAAACAAAAAATGTAAACAGGAAAGTAACTGCCTATGCTCGTACAGCTTCTCAAATCATGTTAGAAGTGTCTCACAAATTCAATGATCAAGAAATTTTAAAATAGCAATAATAACTTTTGATTTAATAAAAAGTTCCCTTTCTTCCCACTCACACCTCAAGTATTTAACGTGAAAGATTGAGCCTCCTTACACATTACTTTTATACTTTTATGAAGCAGCAACAACGACCACTGATAATTTGGTATTTCTGTTTATAGTTGCTCCAAAACTCTTTAATTTCAAAAAGCCATTATCCAGTGTTGCCATGAAATATACTGTAGATTGTAGGTAGCAAGGATTTGTTCAAAAAACAATTTTAGTTCAAAGAAATATAAAGCAGGGCATTACACTAAATTTCTGGATCTAGTACACTAAGAGTGAAACCTAGGAACAGTCACCTACTGTTTTATAGAAGAAATAAAGACCTGCAAAAGCTGATTTTTGGTTATATATTTTACACACTGTGTGGATTTGTGGCATCTGCTAATTGAAGCAGACATGCACTGTAATTTATCCCTGCCCTGTATCCTAGATCCTGTCCACCCCATCCCAACAATCTACTATCATATACCAAGTACTGTGGGTATGAACCCAAGTTGTCCCAGACAATCCAGTGAACAAAGTTAGTGTAATGCACTGGTGTGAAGTGTGATATACAAAAAAGTCCCTTTTAATCCTCATCAAAGTTTTGCTGTAGAAGAAAATTGGCAGCCAAATTCTCATTCTTCTCACAAGGAAAATATGCTTGTATCACAAGTCCTTCAGGAAATCCTAATGCCTTTAACCTTTCTATAGCTTCCTTTTCCTGAGGAATTACTTGGATGTAGTTCATGTGCCCACTTCCAGCTTCTGCAATTTCTCTGCTGCCACCTCCACCACCTCCGCCTTGACCACCAGCTTCCTGAACTGGTTCATTCAACATCTGAATAAAATGCTCCTGCTGTTGGCTAATTTGCTGCAGCAATTGAGGATTCTCTCAACCTATCTGTTGTAGCAATGCTGGAAGCAGGGAAGGATTCTGTTGGCTAATTTGTCTCATCTGTTGAAACTGAGGCTGATTCCCTAAAAACTCAAGGGGATGTCCTCCAGAACTTGTGGTCATCGTCGCTGCTGTTGTAGTCATTGCAGCTGCAGCCACTGCAGTGGCCTGAGGTGCCCCAGCACTAGCTGCTTGAGGAGGCTCAACCACAGCCTGACTTTCTCTATCTCCAGGGATTTCCATTAAAAGATATTCCACTTCTTTGTCAGGGTGGTTGAAACTGGCTCTCAGGGCTGCAATTATTTGTTCTCGTTCATAGCCCATAGACATGATCTCAGTTACCATATTCTCATAATACTGACCTGTCATTGTCAGTTGATGTAGGGCTGCTAGCTGGTGGTGTCTCTGCTGACTTTTCTGCAGGCTACTCCTGCTGAGCTGCACTAGCAGGCACAGGTTCAGAAGACGCCGTTGTCACTGCTGGAGTGATGGACGCAGATGTGGTTGTGGGAGCCAAAGCAGGAGGAGGGGTTGGTGCCTGAGTCACAGCTGTTGCTGTGGAGGAACTAACAGTGGTAGTGCTGGCAGGGCTCGATTGCTGCATTGTAGCTGGTGCTGGTGTGGTCACTCCTTTGGGTTTTGTCACCATAACCACCACAAAGTTTTTCTCATCGATTTTATATTCTTTGAGAGCCATATCATTGTTGAGGATTTACCTGCATAAATTAATTTTTGACCTGCTACTGGGAAGGCATCTTTCCCTTTTTCAAATTCAATCTTCTCTTTCAGTGCTTTCACCATCTCCTCTGGGTCAATGTCGATCTTGAAAGTCTGCTGCTGGAGGGTCTTCAGGGTGACCTGCATGGCGCTGCCTCACCTCCGCTGCCGGGCCTATGCCTGTGCGGGCCGCTGGCCGGGGTCGCCCGTGCTCCTCGAGCTCTCGGGAGGAATGCGATGGGGGCGGGGGCTTGTCACATTCACCCCACGGAGCTGCCTGTCCCCCAGCCCGTGCTCTGGCCGTGCTGCTGCGCTGAGACTGCAGCTTTCTCGTGGGGCTCGGGCCACTGTATTTCCACAAGTGCCAGCCACTGAGCCCACGGGAGGGATAGAGGGGACCTCCGCAAGACTGGCAGAGAATCCGCTACCTCACTATAACATAGTGGCCGCCATCATCATGACTCTGCCCCTATTTTTTAAAATGTCATTTGTATTGACTCCTTCTTTCTCATTGATGCCTATTAGTCTCACATTGTTCATCTTTGCATCATCTTGCAGGT